GTACAATTAATAGTATTTTATTATTAAAAAGTACCAAAAATATAAAAATATACCTAAGCCAGAAATTATTGAAATATTGAAAATTAATTGTATTTTTTTATTAATTATGGTATTTATTTATTTATTTGATTTATTTTTACTAAAAGCAAATGAAAATTAATTTTGTAGTGACTAATATGCAAAAATAATGCTGAAAATACTGAAAATTATTAAAAAAATACTCATATGCAAAAATTATTGAATAATAATGAAAAAGCACCAAAAATTAATTAAAATCTGAAAATTCTAGAAAACCTAAAGCTTAATTAAAATACTAAAAATAATTAAAAAATTAAATTAATTGTATTTTATTGCAAAAAAATACTAAATAATAATGAAAAAATAATGTATTTTAATTATTAAGAGTAATATAATTAACAATAATTATTTTTAAACCCTAATTAACAATAATTATAATTTAAGCTATTAATAGTAGAAAATTACATTTAATTAGTTTTAGCCAAGAAATGAGCAATATTTTTGGATATATGATAATTTCCAGAAATTACTGTATTTTAAATAAATATAATAATTTAATAATTACAGTATTTTAAATAATATATAGTAACAAATCGTTTATAACTTAACGTAACCCAACTAGATTTATAAATTTGTAGGCTCAAGCAAATATTTTCTTTTGAGTTAAGTCTAGTTGAGATATGCACCATGCCGACACATATAAAATCAAATTCGGAGTCTAATTGAGTATCAAACTTTTGGAGTCCAATGATGGCTTTAGCGGATAGGGCCCAAGCTAAACAACCCCTTATAAACTCAACTTGGAAGTTATATGCATATATGGTAAATACAATTATATAATATTTAAATAATAAATTGTATATTAATATATATAGAAATGTTATATATATTCTTATACTAGACTAGAATTAAATAAAAATTTTAATTTGTAAGAAATCATACTTTTATAATTAACACGAGCCTCTTTATCAACAAAAAAAAGTGCAAGCCCAAGCCCAAGCCCGACCCAACCATCGAGTCTAGATCTTGAGCCCAAGCCCAAAGCTCAAGCCCAAAGCCCAATCTGTACACAAAAATATCTTATTTTCATTATACTTTTATAAACTAATATTATATTTCCTAATAGTAAATTGATATTTATTAATAATTTAAGAAGTATATATATGGAACCTGGCTTACTTGAGAAAGCCCGAGCTCAAGTCCACGGGCTTGAAATTTTGTCCAAGTCTGAAAAATAATGGGACAGGCCGAATTGGGCCATGAATAGGTCTAATTGTATATATAAACAATTGTATACATAAAAAATCACATGAAATAAAAATTTGAACAACTTTTTCAATTTTTCTAAAAATGGACCTCTCATAGCTTGGCCCAGTCCGCAGCCTGGCCTGGCCCAAGGCCATGGACCAGCCAGGCCCATAGCATGGTACAGGCTCGGGTCGTGGGTCGTGCCGAACCAACCCCCCAAATTATTTAGGGAAACTCTTTAAGTAATAATACATAATTTTTTAAATAAATAATAATTAAAATTTTAGGAAATTAATCTATGAAAAAATATTCTCCAAAACTATTTAAATAATAGTCCATTATTATTATTCAACTAAAAAAATTAAGAAAATTAAATTAGGAAATTAATCTATTAGAAATTGTTTCATATTTATTTATATAACAATCCATTATTATTATTTTAATAAATAATTATGAAATAATTTAGGAAAATTATTAAATCTATCCACACCAGTCTAGACCACTTGGTTGACTTTAATCACTCTTTGTTTTACATTAATTATCAAAAAATGATTTACTTTTAGTTAAAATTAATGTAATTTACCATAATTACATTGATTTACTATAATTACATAACAATGATTAATAGTAAATAATTTACATTAGTTCACATCAATTTATTGTTTTTATAAATAACTAATTTACTATACATTTTGGTTATTGTAATTTATTATTGTTTTTATAAATAACTAATTTATTGTTTTTATAAACAAATAATTTCAATAATTTTTAGAAACCATCATAAATATTGTAATTTATTATTATTTAATTTACTATTAGTTAATTAGTTATAGAAAATTATTAGAATTGTAGAGATGGTAATTTTCCTTGTAAAACTAGGGTCCTACCCTACCCGATCCACCCTAAATAGGACAAGTTTTCTCAAATTTTAAATAGGGATAGTGAAGAGACAAGGTGGGGATGGGGAAAATATTTTTTTTTTCTCCAAATCAAGGATGGGGAAGGGACGAGGTTTGCATATAATTTGGTTCTAATTTGGAAGGAGTACAAATACAAAAATGTACAATACAAATCCATACAAAATATAAGGTTTTGCGCTCTACATGTTTGTATTTGTACTCCTTCCAAATGGGAAGAGTGCAAATACAAACATGTTCAATGCAAAACCTTATATATGGTATTTCTAAACCTTATATTTACACTGTACATATTTGTATTTTCACTCTTTCCAAATTGAGCCGGTGTTAATACAAGTATTTCTAAACCTTACATTTGCACTCTTCCCAAACTAAGCCTAATGAAATATATGAGGTAAATTTTTAGTTTGGATTAAACTTTAGAAGGAGAAGCCCTATTGCCTCATAGCTTTGCTTTAATATGTGGATCATTACACTCTTATAGTTTCAAGAATTTACTAAAACTTACGCTATAGTCTATGTTTTACTAAGGCACCCTTACAGTTGGCAACTGATTTAGTTAATCTGTTAGATGAAAGTGGAAAATGACAGTTTTGTTATTTGTGAAAAAGAAAATGAAATACGAAAATTTTTGTTTTTTCTATAGTAAAATAAAAAATGACACTTTTGTTATTTGTGAAAAAGAAAATATGGTGTTATAGATGAAGAACCCATATGCCATTGTTCTCTCTTTTTCTTTATTATACTCAAACCAAACATTGTTTGTTGTTTGATAGGGTTGGGAACCAAACATCGATTGTTTCAAAGATCTTGCTATAAAGTGATACGAGGTACTTTTGGGGGGCGTTTGTTTTTGGGATTTTGAGAGGAGGGAAAGTTGGTCAATAGGATTGTGAATCCCATTAACCAAGAAACCTATGTTTCTTTTTTGATTTATGTGGGGATCAGGGAAAGTCTGGTGATGTTTGGCATTGATGATGATTTCCCAAACATCAGAGCCACGTTGTATCCACATAAGAATTTGAAGAATCATTTTTTTTCTTGTTTGGTTGGCCGATTATGCCAATTTCTAGGAAATCAGCCCTTTCCAGGGATCACCTTTTTTTGGTGATTTCCTTATGTTTTAACTGATTCCGATTTTTTTRAGGATGACATGGCATTGAATAATAACTCTAATACAAAAATAATCGGCCCTTAAAAATCAGTACCAAACAGACCCAAAGCCGATTTCTCAAAAATCAGCTTATGTGGCATAAATGATATCAAACAACAATTTTTTATGATTTTCCAAAAATCAATGGTTTTAGAAATCACCGATTTCTAGATAATCAAGAAGGAGAAATCATCATCGGTGCCAAACATCACCTTTATTTTCCTAGTAAGTGATACCCATCTGCTAGGTGGATAAATTAAATTTCCCATATGGGGGAAAATTGCCAACACTTGGATGGAACAAAAATACCTCTTTTGATAATGAAATTTTTATGACTAAAATAATCATTATTTTGTTTTTCTAGAAATTAAAAGAAGATGGATAAAAACACTTTCTCAAATAAACATTTCCAAAAAAACACTTAGGCCTTGAAACAAACAACAATTGGAYTATGTCCTTACACATTTTCTACTTGGTTAAGGTAGTTTACATGATCATATGGGAATGAAAAAATGTGAACAACTTTTAATGAAATGCCAATTAAGTAAATCGGTTGAAAATTATAAGGGTATTTTAGTAAAATACAAATTAGAGGATATTCTTGTTTTGAAAGATAACTATGATATAGGTTGAGTAAATGACTCTTAATATATTTATATCATACAGCGGTTTGAAAGCAGCATTAGTTCGCATTATTAAATCTTGAAGTGATGTTTATTTATTTTTTCTTTCTTTTACTATGCAGAAATGATACTTTAGACGATGCTATTATAGGGTAGGCGGTACCCTTCCATTTAAGGGCTATTTGCCTATTTCAATGCTTCATGCCCCATTTCACAGCCACAGGGCCGGTTGGGGCCATCTGGTTTGCTTTTTAAAAAGCAGTGATAAGATAGATATAGATGGTTCCTATTCTAAAAGAGAATTCATTAAATAAGATCCCATCTTTCAATCTATTGTTAATTTGTTATTCAATTACAAATTCGGTTTGGACTCAGTCAAATGAGAGACCATTCTTTGGTGTGAACTCAGGAAGAAGCAGGAAATGGCCCAGCAAATAAATTTAAGCGTCGTTTGGCACTTAGTAATGATCCAGAAAATTATTTTGTTTCCTCCTTTCTATGCATACTTAAGAAACTAAAGAGCTATTTTCTACTTCGCAATCTTAGAAAAGCAAAAGATGTTCCAGAAATAATTTTGTTGTGATTGAATACACAATTCATGTCTAAAATTGTGCAAAAGAAATATGTAAATTGGGTCATCTAACCAAACCAAACATGGCCTAAGCTAAGGGTACATCTTAGCAATATTAAAGATCCAAACGAGTTGAAATGCATCCGTAGAAATTGAACCTATTTGGAGAATCGGACGGTTTGATACGTTAAGGGCCGTAGATGATGTCAGTGCTGATAATCAATCAATTAAGATATATTAATTTAACGGTTAGTTGAAGGTGAACGTGGACTTGGAGAAAACGACAGCCAGGGGTAAGGAGTAGGACYGTAGGAGTACTAGGCAATCGCCCCTGGCCCGTGCGTCGACGTCGAGGACGATGGCATTATTATAATTAGGGCGATGTCTCAAGGACATTTTTGTAGCACAAAACAGTTATTAGGGCGATGGTCTCCTTCATGGAAGGAGGGGAGGACGATCGGCCGGTTATAAACAAGGCCACATAATCCTTATCATCACGTGAAATTAAAGGTTCTTTTAAAGCACGGGAGTGCTACCGCCGGCCGGAAGGAGGTTTTCCCTCCTTCGACGAAAGATCCAATAGACCGGATGCTCATTTTCGTTCGTAGCCGTAGAACTGTAGAAGCAGTGACGGCAATCCGTAAGCTGTCAATGCAGAAGAGACAGGAGCGAGATCGGAGTCGCTGAAGCTGACCAAAATGGTGAGTAGATAGATCGTAGATGAGTTGACTCGGAGTGGGGACCACCTGAGAATCACTCGACTCTGCACTCATGCACTGCACTGCAGTAGATAGATCGTAGAAGAAATTTTAATATTCAACTTTTTTTTTTAATTTTTTATCTATAAATAGTGGATGCAGAGAGAGAGAGAGAGAGACAGAAACAGAGCGACGTAGAGACATTCAGTTCACCGACCAGATACCCCTCATATCCCTTTTCGAGGGTATTTCTCTGGTCTTCTCCGGATTAATCTGGGTTTCGCAGTGAGGAAAAGAGTACTTGGGTGAGATCTTCGATGGAGGTCGAATCCCCTGCTTTTGCGAGCTTCGATTTGCAGCCAAAATCCTTGTTTTCTTTCTCGTTGAATATTGTGACCGAGTCGTCGGAGCTCCGCTCTCAAGAATGCGGCTTCTCTGAAATGACTGTTTCTTTGAATGGTGGCACTGAATCAGTGGCTGTTCATGCTGAAGAGTACCGGAGTTTTAAACCGTCGGTTGCGCTTGATAATTTTCAGAAATTGACGGTGACCGACCGCGACGCTCGGGAATGTGCGAGCCAAGAAAACTTCGTTCTCAGTTCTGGAGCTARGCAGGTAGACGTCAACGGTCATGGAGATTGTAGGGGTTCTAAATCGACGGCCGCCGTGAAGCTGCAGAAGGTCTACAGAAGTTACCGTACACGGCGCAGGTTAGCAGATTCTGCCGTGGTAGCCGAAGAGCTTTGGTAGGTAACCAGATTCCTTATATATTTTAATAATCCAACAATGTCTTTCTCTCTCTCTCTCACCATCTTTTTTTTTTTCAACAAAAGGTGGCAGGCGATCGACTATGCTCGATTGAATCACAGTACGATTTCGTTCTTCAACTACTTGAAACCAGAAACAGCCGCTTCGCGATGGAACCGTATCAGCTTGAATGCTTCAAAGGTTTGTTTAGTGGTTCTGTCTCTCTGTCTCTCTGTCTCTCTTTTTATTTTCCTTCAACCCAAGAAAAAAATGGACATCACTGTCGTTGTTGTAGATTTTTCTATGTTTTCTTGTCTTTTACTTGTTTTTTTCCTTTCAAAAGATAAATAAACATAATGTTTCGTTTAACTTATTATGTCAAGTAATTCGACCTTCGGCAGGTGGGAAAGGGGTTATCCAAAGACGCCAAAGCTCAGAAATTAGCTTTTCAGCACTGGATCGAAGCTGTAAACTTCTGCACATTCATGACTGCACTTTTTTTCCTTTTTTTTCCCCATATTTTTGGCTTATTTTGGTAATCAGGCTCCTTCTATAAATTCTATTTGTTTTTTCTTATTTTAAAATTGTCTTATTGTAGATCGATCCACGACATCGATACGGGCATAGCTTACACATCTATTACGAAGAGTGGTGTAAAGCAGATGCTGGCCAGCCATTTTTCTACTGGTGAGTTACAGAGCTTTTCCTTTTTTGGTTAACCTTTTTTTTAGCACATGAGAGGGAAGAGGAACTTTTAATATAATAATCTCTTGTCTATTTATTTAATTAGTATGGTTGCTTGTGAACGAGCTCGGATTTGTTTGTTTTAAGCCTTTTCCTCCAAGGCCCATGTTCCTCCGTAACAAGTGCAGTAGCAGGGTTGCACAAGGGCTGAAACGGTGATGCCTAGACACTAAGAAAGCAGGTGTGACACTAGGATCACAGTAAAGTCTGGCTGGGTGTAAAGTGCAGACCTAGTAATTTATTACATACTTTTGTAGTTGTTTGGTTGTCATGGAAAACAGGTTTGCTGCTTAGCAGAGTAGGAACCAGGTTGGGATCATAGAACGCAGAAGCGTTTGGGATCTTGAATTCGATTCCATGTTGTAGGGGCTTTACATAAATTCTTTCAAAAATAAGGAGTTTATTTTTGTAAAGATCTCTTTCTGTTCAATATATTCTTGCGGTATATATCCTCCTGTTTAATATATTCTTTCTGTTTAAGTCCCCACAAACTAAAGCATTCCCATGTTTAACAAGAACCTGTTAAATGCATTTTGGGCAGGTTGGACATTGGAGATGGCAAAGAGGTTGATCTCAAGGAATGCCCAAGATCAAAACTTCGACAGCAATGCATTAAATATCTTGGACCTGTATGTTATTTATTCCTCTAAGAACTAAAGTAGATTTATTTGAAGCTTGATTCTATCACTGTACATTTAGTTCCAAGGTCTGTCATCCTAAAATATGTGTAGTCTTATTTGTGGTCACTTCTTATTGAAATCAGCAAGAGAGGGAACACTATGAGTACATAATCATCGATGGGAAGATTGTGCACAAACAAACAGGAACATTTCTTGATACAAATAGTGGATCACAAAACGTGAAATGGATATTTGTGATGAGCACCTCCAAGAAACTCTATTGCGGGGAGGTGAGTAAAAATCTTGATCAATCARTTGTTGTTTCTTCTGTTTTTAATTTTCTTTTGTAATGCTGCTTCTGTTTCCCAGAGAATTAATGTTTTGTTTGCACCATCCAGAAAAAGAAAGGCTCTTTCCATCACTCAAGCTTCCTTGCGGGAGGGGCTACTTTAGCGGCTGGAAGACTTGCAGCTGAGAACGGAGTGCTTAAGGTACAAAAGATACGGAGTTCACAATTATATGATATCTGCTTAATTTCTATAGAAGTTGGATAGGACCTTATGGGTCATAATCAGGATGAAGCTGTGGTCATCTTTGGTATAACTTGAGCTCACAGATGCTACATTGCTACTTGCATTTTGAGGGTTTTAAGTCTGCATGGAAAACTGAGCTACTCACCCTTGGGGACTTCTAGGTGTACAACCATTATGCCTGGCGTGTTTTGTGAATAGGAGATTTCCATAGATGGTTTCAATATGCCAAATAATGTCCATCTGCTAGACTGCTTTGGTCATAAAACTTTTTTACAAATCTTGGATAAGGTTGTTCATTCTCATTCTGAAAACTCATGAGCCAGTTTCTACCTTGCAATAGCTTCTGCTTGTTGTACAAGTTCAACATCCATCACATTTCCATTAACGGACTCTATCAACATACTCTACAACCTCTCTTCTTAAAGCATTTTCCATTATTTTGTGAGTTAATAAACTAAAGATTGAACAATTGAACATGCACTGAAAAAAGCATATAAGACATGCATGGGCACATAAGCAAAGCATGCAAATTGAAACATTGTGTTCAGCATTCACAATTTTCCAGTCATTAACCATTCCTGGGTTGAATCAAGAGCTCTTTCAATTGCAGATCCTTCCATTTTGAAAGAATGAAAAAAGCATATAAGACATGCATGGGCACATAAGCAAAGCATGTAAATTGAAACAAAAATACATTGTGTTCAGCATTCACAATTTTCCAGTCATTAACCATTCCTGGGTTGAATCAAGAACTCTTTCAATTGCTGATCCTTCCATCTTGAAAGAATGAAAGGAGTGTCTTAATGACTCAAATCTCCTTGTGAAATAAGATATCAAGAAGTTGGTACAGACATTTGTTATCTTGCATCTGATTTTTCAGATTGGATTCTTCCTTGCAGTCTATCTCAGCATACAGTGGACATTACCGCCCAACCGAAGAGAACCTTGGCACCTTCCAAGCCTTCCTTGGGGATAATGGAGTAAACCTCGACAACGTTGAGGTATGTAATGCATACTTTGTAGATCATCACCAACATTAGCTGATTATGTGTGTCCATTAAGTAATTTTTATGAGCTGCTATGTTTTGCCAGGTAAAATCCTCTACAGAAGACTATGACAACTATGAAGAGAAATCAACAAAAGATGCCAGCAGAACTGGAGTTCCAACATTTCAAGAACCTCTCCAGCTTGAAACTTCCAGTGAAGTGGAGAAAGACCAATTTGTCAAACCAACCGAAGTTGCAAAAGCTGAACCAGTTGAAGATGATCAAGCTGCAAAAACGGGTACTTACAAAAGGACCTTATCCGGTGGTCTTCAGAGTCCAAAAGCACAGGTACCTAAGCAAGCAATACTGCAGAGGATCAATTCCAAAAAGGCAGCAAGTTCATATCAGTTGGGGCATCAACTCTCACTAAAATGGTCAACAGGCGCCGGTCCACGGATTGGGTGCGTTGCAGACTACCCTCTGGAACTGAGGGTACAAGCCCTAGAAATTGTGAACCTCTCCCCAAGGCGTCCTCCCACACCGTCATCTCTCCGACAGTTTGGCTGTCCAGCTCCACCTACACCTCGTCCCATCTACGGTCTCTCTAGTGGTGATAGGACATATACTATCTAGATAAGCTCCGTCTCTGTTGAGAGTCCGTTCCTTGCATCTCCTGGATGCTTTACTGCATGTAAATTCCTCCTCTCTCTACGTTTCCATCCTGGCAGAATGCTGCCTTACGGTCAATATCCAATTTCTTTATTCGTGTTCTGTTATTAATTTTCCTGCATCAATTCGCAAAAATTGAGCAGTAAAATCCAGTTCAGATCCTCCAACTCACCAGCTTTACTTCAGAAGAGCAAATCAGGTTTGTTATGCGCATTAGAAGAACTCACCCCTAAAAGCTAGCTGTTAGAGGGAGGGAATTCAAGCACATATATACCCCACAATAGCACCCCATAAAACCTAACGCTAAGCATATTCAGCTGCACAATAAATMCTTTTGGGTCTTGCAGTCTGCCAAAAGACAGCACCAGATAATCAAATAATATCTGGCTCCATTGGCATGCTCATTATATGAAGTAATAAGCCCAAATTATCTGATCCCAGTTTCTAGATCTTCTAGAGCAGTACATAATAACATTTAACCTTCACTGTTGTCCTCACAGTGACATTTACCAGAAACCAAATCTGGCGTCAGTCACACCAAACGGTGGTTGGTCAAGTAAATCCTTCTATGATGTTCCTTACTACCAGTCAGCGCAGTCCCAATGCTTGCAGTAGCAGAGATGTTATTAAAACAAGTCCAGTGGTTAGGCTTGATCCCTTGAGAATAACCATTTATCTAAAACAGTGGAGTGTTTCCTTTGCAAGAAAATCTTCTCTGTGAATACCCAGATATCAAAGATCGTCTAAGAAACCAGATTTTCATCAGCAGACAACTAACTAATCGAACAAGGGCTGAGGATGAGCATCATCAATCAAAACGTCCAAAGGGAGAAACTCAGGTATAATTATGCCGGTAGGAGTATTCTCCCTTTAAATATTGCATTCGGTATCGCCCAATGCACGCAAAAGAAGGTGATTGCAAGCCAATTATATGGTTTGGAGACTGGACCCAAAAGGATCCTATGCTGTAAAAATCAACTTTTACAGTGGAAGGGGGTGGAACTGATGGAGTGAATCAAAGCAAGGATATTTGGAAAAATTAAATGCCCTTCTAAGATAAAATATTTTCTATCTTAACTATAAACTCCCTTGCAGGAAGAAAGCAAGAACTAAAAAACTATGGGATCAATATGTGGAGAGGAAGAAGATATTGATCACATCTTTATGGTGAATTGGCCAAACAAATTTGGATAATTATGGACTCAATAATCCCAAAACCGAATGGCAGGGAAACTGTGATATAATTTATAATCAAAGAATCCCGATGAGAAATTGAAAATGTAGTGATGTTATATATTATGGTAAATACGGAAGACAAAGGAATAAAAAATATATGTGGCTACTTTGCAATGATTTTGAACCGCCATTGACCCGGTTGTTTGGATCATTCATTCGGATATTGTTCAGGCAATCGGTTTTGTTTTACCCCAATACTGGTTTTTGGCCAAAAATCATTGAATTGGTCAATGACCCGTTTGTAAGATTCAAAGTATCGATACATATCGGCCCATATCGGCTGATATGTATTCTTCCGGAACCCCTCCGATACACCCCTACAATGGGTGTATCGGGAGTCTGACCGGTTCACGGGGTGGAGGAGCCCTAAACTGCCCCCCTGAACCGATTGCGAAAAAAAATAAAAAAAAGGCACAAAATGCAGTACTGATTCGCCCAATACGCCGATTTGAACCTTGCCCGTTTGACCTGGGTGGTCAAACCATTGACCTGTTTAATAGTTTGACTTTTTTATTTAATTATTTTTAAATTTTTTGTCAGATTAGGTTGTTCATTTGAATTGGACAGTTGAACCATCAACCCAAAAACTGGTGCACAGAATGGTTCTGATTCTGGATCGGCTTTTAAAACCTTGCTACTTTCTGTGACTTCCCCAATAGCAAGGATGTAGGCTCCTGTGCAATCAGTATGGCAAAAGCATGGAGTTTTCACATTCACCTCAGCATGCATTGATAACATCTCCGCAGTTGTCATTGGAAGATGTTTTCAATACACGATTGGAATGTGTTGTGGTGCATTGATAACATCTCCACAGTTGTCATTGGAAGATGTTTCCAATACAGGGTTGGAATGTGTTGTGGGGCATCATCTCTGGGGCGCGTGAATTCAAAAGTATGGGCTGCCCTGAAAGCCAATAAACTAGTTCTAAAGTTTAATTGCAAGAAAATAATAATTGAAGGAGATTCCCATATTCTCATCTACAGTTTAAGGGGAGTTTTGAGATTATGGAATTTATTCTAATTGTTTCCATAGTATCAGCTGGCTATCAGCGATACTCTCATTGTATCGGGTCGATGTTGGCTTTCTAATACACCATTAAATTTTCCTAATTACTATTAAGGTAACTATTTAAATTTAAATTAGCATTAACTCTTATATTTAAGGCAATTATTCAGATTAAAATATGTTTATTTAGCTTTCTAATACACCATTAAATTTTCCTAATTACTATTACCTATGATTTTTTGGATAAATTGTTGAAACCTTCCATGAAGTTTTGGACTGTTGTTAAAATCTCCCTTGAAGTTTGGTAATTGCAATTGCCTCCTTTGAAGTTTTGGATTATTTCTAAAACCTCCCTTAAAGTTTAGTAATTGCAATCACCTCCCTTGAACTTTCTAACACAATTGCAAGTAGGCCTCCTCTGTTAGAGTGCTCTTAAAAGAGGTATAAAAATGTCCAAAATACCCATGCAATTACTATTGAGGCTGGTTTCTATAGGAAAAAACAACACAAACTTTATGAAACAAAAAATGAGAGAGAGAGTTTAAAATTGCAGTTTTACTTTGAACCATTGATATGAAGGGAAAACTTGAACAATGATTCAATTTTAGAAAAGAGATTGGAAGGATTTTGGGGTAGAAATTCATATGTAGAGATCTTCAAAAATAAACATTTTGGTAAAAATAACTACATGGGTATTTTGAATAATTTTATGCATTTTTTTAGAAGATTCTAATAGAGAAAATCTACTTGCAACTATGTTAAAAAGTTCAATGGAAATGATTTCAATTACCAAACTTCAAGGGAGGTTTCCACAACAACAAGAAACTTCCCTTCTGCAATTTATCCTATTTTTGGAACAAAAAAATATCAGACGATATTTAACATGGCATGGGTGGAATGACCCAAACTCAAATTTATTAAACCCATATTCACAATATAATAAATTTCCTTTTTCTTTCCTCTGTTTCATGGGGCTACACAACAGGGTATGTAGCATCTCCTCTACACGCATAATAACTCTCTGCTACAACTAGAACTTATCGACCAAGCCACCATTAGTTGGTCATTAAATTTCCCTAATTACTATAACCTATAGCTTTTTTGGGTAGAAAAACTACAAATAAGAAGGTCTAAACCTTGGCCTTGAGGTTAAAAGAAAACAAATTCACTATTATGGCTGAATGGCATGCTTCAATTACTTGTCATAGTTACATGGATTTTAAATGTTCACTAGGCATGACTCCTCTACTCAGGGGCCACTAATGTGAATTATTTTAAATTTTTAATTTTTTAAATCATTTATATTAAAAATTTAGGTTAGGTTTTTCATTTGTTGTTTTGATAGATTTTTATTTGATTTAAGAGATTTACTATATTTTATCTAGTATGTGACCCCGTTATGGGGCAGCCACACATATGTATTATTTTGGTTTTTATTCTTTTTTGTTTTGTTTTTTATAGTAATATTATTTTATTTGAGTTTTTTTAGAAGATTTTATTTGAGTTTCACTATTTGTCTAAAAATTATATTTATACTTGAATTTCAAATAAAACTAACTATTGTAGACTTTAGACTGAAGTGATTGCAGGCAGAAGTGGTTGTGGATAACCACTTCTACATTTCCTACATTTTTTTAGGAATGGATGAGAATTGGCGCTTTCCACTTCTCATGTATTTCTAAAGAACTTCACCCGTCTTAGAGTGCCACATGTCAGAGTTCAAAAATTTTAATGTGGTTAAAAAGCAATTTATGTATATGAGGAGTGAGTTTTCTCTTTGAAAATGTGAACAACCAACTTCTGAGATGCTTTTTCCAGAAAGTTAAGGTTGCCACATGTCTAAATGGTGGGGGGCTATGGCATGAAGACCTTCCTTTAATTCCTTTAATATATATATATTAGATTTATTATTGGATATTCTTCAATAAATATTACAAGCAAGATTCAAAATATCGATACGTATCAGGCCGTATTGGCCAATACATACCATATTGGGGGCTTTCCGAAACACCCCTAGAGGGGGTGTTTTGGGGTCTCAATTGGTTCAGAGGGTGGATGGACCTTAAATCGGCCCCTTAGAAGTAGATTCGAAAAAACTAAAAAAATACAAAAAAATCTATCGATATTACCCGATACGCCACTATCGGCATATCAGGCATATTGATACTTTGAACCTTGGTTACAAGATGATTATATTTATTAACACAAATTATACTCGATGTTCTTAAAATTATTCTCATGTACATGCATATTTTAGTTCTTTCACCATTTTTCAATGTTTATCAATTGTGTCCTGGTATATCACGTTTCCCATAAACCATTAAAATATGTGTTTTTACATGTATATGACTTATTTTATCTAGAACACATATTAAATATTATTGTATTTTTTATTCATTTGAGTTTCCTCACTTGTTCATCTATCGTATTTTTTTCTCCATATCTATACGTATTCAAAGCATATCTAGACATATCTCTTAAAATTGACTCTTTGATGTTCATTGCATTTAATTCAAGATATTTGGTACCTTGGCTCTTCCGTCTTTTATAATGAATTAAAGAAAAGGGAAATTGTCTACAACCCACCATCACTTTTTTCAAATTCACTTAAACTCACCATAACTTTTTAAAGCATCCAAAACTCACCGTATCAGTGAAATAACGGTAAATTGACTAACGGACATTGCTAATTTATTATTTTACCCTTTCTTATGTTCGACCCATTTTACAATATCCCAAAATTACCCCCATCATTCTTCAACCCAAAACCCTAACGGTCTGAACGAAAGAGAGAGCATTGGCTGCTGCTTCTTCCACCATTTGCGAAAGAGAAAACCAGCACTTGCCACTGCAATTTCCCCCGTTTGAGAACGTGAAAACCCATTGCCGCTGCTTCTCACCATTGTTGTTGCTTCTCCCATTGTCTGAGAAGAGAACAGTCGGAACAGAACCAAGAGCACACCCTCGTCCTTCTTAAACCCAAAACCCTAACTATCTGAACGAAAGAAAAAACCCATTGCTGCAGCTTCTCACCATTGTCGCTGCTTCTCCCATCGTTTGAGAAGAAGAACAGTCAGAACAGGATCAAGAGCACACCCCGTCATTCTTTAACCCAAAGCCCTAACTCTCTAAACGAAAGAGAAAACCAGTTTGACAAAAAAGACGATGATCACCATCTGAGAACCAAAACAACCTATGAAGAACCAAGCGTGAAGAACAAAAAAAAAAACAATTTCACCATCCTATCAAGAACACATTCAACACAAGTATACTTATATAGAAGCTTACAGTGTTCAAGGTAAATGAACATCTTTTTTTTTTTTTTGTTGGAAGAAGAGCTTTTAAACCTATCAATGGCAGAAAAGGACGACATAGGCTTGCTTGCTGGAATCCATGATTTTTTTACTACTTTTTTGCATCAATTGTCTGCTTCTTGTGAGACCAAATGCAATCTATTCATGGTCCCCCACCATGAACAAAGTTGTGCCACGGTATTCATCTTTTCTAGAGCAAGTACTTTGTTACAGAACAGTAAAAAAATACATTTTCCTCCCTTTACACCTGTGAAATTGATGGTTATAAGTGGTTTTAACAAACCCTAGTTAAWGGAATTCATAACATATGTGATGTGGGTGGTGTTGGCGACTGACAAAATGCAGAACTTATGGATTTACTGATGCAGTTCAGACTTCATATTTCCAAACTAGGCTTACACTTATAGATTTTAGTCTATGTAGTATGAACAAAATTTGTTGATTTGCAAAGTAGAATACCACATTTATCTGAATGAGAAAATGTTCAAGTCCGGGTCCTACCACAATGCCTCTCCTAATTGTAATCTTAACACTTGATATTAGAACTTCAATCCAACTTACTAACTGGAGAGGAGAAAGGGAAAAGAAAAGCCACCCCCAAGTGTTTACTTGTTAAATTACCAAGAGTAAAAGAGAAGAGGTTTGCAGAATTCAATTGCCACTTTAATAATGATTCTAAACAATTGTCTTTCTAAAATGAGAATACAAGGCTCAGTTTGGAAGGAGTACAAATACAATATTTTAGAGTGCAAAACCTTGTATTTTGTATGTATTTGCACTCTACATATTTGTATTTGTACTCTTTCCAAACTGAGCCTAAATATAATTCACATTCATAAATTCACTAAACCTGTTACAGATTGTTTTGATTGTCTACATCATGTCACAATACATAATTCAATTTGTAAACTTTTAGATTCTAGGTACTCCATATTTAGTTCCTTGCTCGCATATTTAGTTTTTCTATATATGAAGCATTACCTCTGGGTACTCCATGTTGGATATTTTTGCAAGTCTGTCTGACTGTTATGAAAAGCAATTTCGGCAAGTCAGTCTAACTATTGTCTTGTATCTTTATTTCTTACCATCTGAGCAGGGCCAAATTCATATCAGCAGAGGAAACCACTGGTGTCACGTTTGATGATTTTGTTGGACAGGAATACATAAAAAGGGAATTACAGGAGATTGTGCGAATACTAAAGAATGATGAAGAGTTTCAAAACAAAGGCATCCATTGCCCAAAAGGTGTTATCCATGGGCCTCCTGGGACTGGTAAAACGCTGCTGGCTAAAGCTATTGTTGGAGAAGCAGGACTTCCTTTTTTTTTTTTTGCAGCTAATGGCACTGATTTTGTAGAGGTGAGAACAGATTTTCATGTAATGATGGGTTCTATAATGATGAAATGAGCGAGGGAGGGAGAAGAACATAGAGAAGTAATGTCCTGTATGAAGAAGCAAGGAAGTATAGTGGTGCCTCTTCTTGATGCCTCTAATTAAGCAAAAATCAGATTTCTTTGAGTGCCCTAATTAAGCAAAAATGGAAAAAAAATGAAGGTGAAACACCTGGTTAGAGGTTTCTTGGATGTTGAGAGCAAGAAGACCCTTCCTAGGACGTTGAGAGCAAGAACACTCTGGGACATTGAGAGCAAGAAAGACTCTCAGTGAGTGGGAATCTAGCTTATATATGAAATAGGATTGGGGGCATTTTGATCAAAAAATATTTAACAAGCTGATTCACCATTCAGGGGCAGTTTGGTCAATGAACTTTAACATGGTGAGTTATGGACGTTTTGAAAAGTTATGGTGAGTTTAAGAGAATTTATAAAAAGTGAGGGTGGATTTTAGACAGAAAATTTGAATGACTTTCTTTCCTTGCATTATCATGGTGCTGACCCACTGGCTCACTTAAAAGAAACACTGTTCTGGACACGTTCCCGTCTCTTTGCCACCATATCTGGTCCCGTTTGCCAAGTATGGAATGGGTGGTCCTAACCCCTATGCTCCAGTTTTGGCCACAAGGTCCAATAACAAACCCACGACCAAACACATGGATGAATGTAGACCACAGGGTTGAGGTTGAGTTGGGCAGGAACTGTACCGATCAGCCCACAATCGCACATGGAGTGGAGTATGGGTGCGACTTAGACACGTTGTAGCAGCAATAGCCTAAACCAGAGGAAACCCTCCCTCAGGCCTTAATCCTAACCCCACCTAAGCACCTAATCTTTTTGAAAAAAGTTTTACATGAACAACACGAAACAAAACTGTCAAAAAGGGGAGCATGGATTTAGGGCTTTTTGGGTACTTGGGCTTAGGCCTAGCATCTTGTTTTCAATTTCAAGCCTTCAATTCTCTAGTTATGACTTATGACCATGAGGAAGAATGTGAGCTTCCACTGGAGACATTATTTGGGTTCACTACATTGAGCAGAATGGAATTAATTCAATGCACTTCCAAATTCAGCCTACTTTTTACCATAGTGATAGTGTCTCCTTCGTGCTAATGAGGGATACTTAATTGTCTTCTTCATGACAAATACCCTATTGAAGGATTCCTGTTATCGAATAATTTCATTGTAAAAGGAATGCACAATTACATATGCCGCAAGGCATTGGACTCAAATGCATGTCTGCTCATTTCCTAAAGTCAGAAGCTATCCTTGGGACCTTGGCCTACTTACCAACCAATAAACGATTATCCTTTGCTTGTTATTCCTGTTCCCTCATTTCATTCCCTGTACTAGTTCTTCGCTTAGGTGCTATAGTCAATGGAAGGGTGATCCCATCTACTGCAAATCTGCAATTATACAATTGGTTGCATTTGATTCAAAATAGAGAAGTTTCAGACGTATTTGTTTTAAACTTTTAATCACTATGCATAAATATAATGAAGGCAAAATGTAGGTGCATCTCGATCTCCTGCACTGTAGAGCAAGCAAGATTGGTTCTATGTGATGGTAAATAGACTTTGTCAAACGTGAAACAAAACTACTTGAACCAATTAATAAATTCACTGTAGCGGAACTCATTTAATAATAGTCCAATTTTTAGATATTTCATGTCATTTGCATAGTTGCCAACTTGCCATCCTTTTTGGTAGATTTGCTGCCTTTTGTGATCCCGATTGGGTCCACCCTGCCTTGAACCCTAGCCAAGGGCCCGCTCTCATCATGTGTGTATTAATTTAGTTATATTATGTATAGTAGATTTTAATGTTGAATCAATGAATCCATCCCTCCCTAACTTCGACTTTCCTTTTTTGTGTCATCACCAATTCATCATCTAACACTTGTTTCAACTATATGGATTGGTTACATTAATTTTGTTTCACATTCCACTAGTGCCATATCTATTGTTAAATTATGGATTGGACACTTAAAATTATTTTTTATTACTTTCATTCAAGTCATTTTTTATCTATCTAAGTCTATTTTCCTTATTTTATTCTTAGATTCTTTTGTATGACTATTTCTAAATTTATTCTACTTGACTAACTAGCTTTACCACTTATTCATACAAACATTTGCTACACTAACCTCTTTCCAATGTGTAACTTATCATTTGCTAGGCTTTGTAATTAAAGGAGTGTTCGACAACGTGGTTGGTTTTGATTTTATTTTAACAAATTACCCGGGTTTCAGGTTTAACCGTTTTAAGTTTTAGGCGTTAATACTATTAGTCGTAATTGGAWCTGATTCAATAGCTCGATTAATAGTTGGATTGGTTCTGGATCTGTTACTCTCGAACCCTAGAGGCTACAGGGTCTAGGTGGGGATGCCATGACCATAACCAACCCCACTTAACCGTATCTAGGTCCACATATTTTCAGAATTTGGACAATGCAAATATCATCATAGTCAAAGAACAAGTTAAACGGGATTTGATATACAAATACACGTTCCCTTAATACTTTGATAGCATACATAAGGATAGAGCGAGATTACAGTCCTCCATTTCTTTTCGCTAGAGAGATATCTCAAACACACTAGAAGAAAACGCCACATACTTTCCACCCTAACATTACGACCACGCGATCACATGAAAGCCAAACCAAATCAACCCATTAATAGACCATTAACTCTTAACAAATGGGCTGAAGTTGAACACATCAAGGAGCAGCAACAACTTCTGTGGGTTTTGCCTCAGCTTCTGCCGGGGCTTCTTTTGGAACTTCTGCTGGTATTTCTTTTGGAACTTCCGCTGGGGCTTCTTTTGGAACTTCTGCTGGGGCTTCTGCTTCCCAGAAGGAAGTCTTCTTTCCCGTCTTAGAGACATTTTGGAAGACTGCATCAGCCTGCACATTGCCCTTCACCGTCACTTTCTGCTCCTTCAAATCAATGTCGAATGACTCCACACCTGACACCATGGTACCAGCAAGACAACAGTCATACAAATCAGTGTTTAAGGGGCATTTAGTCTCTCAAACAAGGTTTAACTTCAAAGCATAGATATCACAAAGAGTGAGTTTTGGAAGGAAACGTGTATGGGAAACAGTGGGATGTGATGAAGTAATTAATATAAGCATGGATATGGGAGGGAGACCACATATATTTTAGAAGTACATGAATAACACAAGTTCTACATCTCAATTGAATATAAATAATGTATAAAGCTAACAGGCAAAGTTTATTTTGTGGAATGTCTTTTCCGAGTTTCTCTCCCAACTTTTTGCTTTGCTTTGACTTTTAATGAATCAATTTGAATTTCATGTTGGGTACATAACATACTATATGGGAGGATGTATTTAGAATTTAAATAGTTCAGTGACTTCAGTCTATGGTAAGACTTGAATGTATAGGACTACAATCTTCATGTTAATAACAAGATACCCTAACCAATTAATCTAATTTGCGTTTTGAAATATTTTATTTATTTCAAAATTTAAAATTTCTATTCTTGTATACTAGGTCCTCAGTTTTTTCTTAATGGTGCCTCACTTCATCCAAGCCCTGCACCTTATGGCTCACGACGCAGGTTTTAGGAAAGCCCCCAAACTTCACTTGTGCTTCTTATTTTTAGAACACTGACACAATGTATAGGCTCTGTTTACAAGTTCCAAGCTACCTTTTGAAAGTTAATAGTAACATCCATCTGTGAATAAGCAAGAAAAAGAATGATAACTTTGCTCAGCTTTCCTTTTCTTTGACATGTTTGCAATTGTGCACAAATGAGGCAAAAGTCTATATTCAACTCAAGAGGTTGCCTAGCATTTGAATTGCCAAAGATAATAACAGTCTGACATTTACAATTTTATATCGAGCACTAGTATGATTTTACACTCACAAATTCAATTGTCAACCATTTCAGTCTCTTAATAAAATCTCATTTTGAGTATTTACTTCAATGCATGCCCAGGCTTGTAAAAGTACATTTCTATTGAGACCTTGATGATCATCTGTTTCCTTTTTCTTAACGAAGTTCCCTTTTCAAAGGCATACATCTTATTTCTCTAATTAGATCCTAAAAATACTAGAAAGGTATCTCAGAACTGTATCACCAATTTCTCAAATACTTTCGGTCAACTACATCATGAAAAAATCCATAAAAAAAAATCTGGTTCCGAATTGCATTCTTCTAAGAAAGAAAATAGTGATGAAGAGTTTTAGGTGAAAATTAACACCAACCTTCCATTTTGTCAAGAACCCTCTTCACAGCTCCTGCACAGCCTTGACAAGACATACCAACCTTGAGGACAACTGTCTGCATTTGAAATTAAAAGAAAATTATGAGGAAGAGAAAAATTTTATATTGGTAATAAAACTTCTATTAGAGTTAGAAACCTAGCAAGAATCATGCATCCAAGGTATCAAGAAATGAGAATGAAGTTGAAATATTAACATTTAATTAGGTGGTCATAACTAAAATATGTTAAACAGAAGAAAGAAAGAAAGAACATAAAAGGCTATGTAGAACCTCAGTCTTATAAAGTATTAATTGCTAACATCTTTACTGCAGAATGCTGTTTTCAGTGGACTCCTCTCTATTCCAAGCATGTTTATGTTTACCATGCTTATGGACACAATGTGTTTGAGGGAAAAAAAATTTGCTCCATCGCTCTTCCCAATAGTGAAATTCGTATGTCAAACAGGTACTGAATTCAAAAGTATCTCAGATTCTTGAGTAAAATGTCTAGATTTCCTCTGCTTTTACTTTTATTTACTTAGCACAGACATCTCTTGGCACATCTAGCATTTTTTATTTATTCAACCCCTTCCAAAAGAAATATTCTAAGCAATAGATTGATCATATTTTCTTCTATTTAGGGTCAGTTTGTTTTTTGGATTTTGAGAGGGGGGGAAGTTGGTAAATGGGATTTTGCTTCCCATTAACCAACGATGTTCTTTTTTCAGATTTATGTGGGGTCCATGGAAAATTTATTTTCCCTAGGTATTACTTACCCGGGTAAGTGATACCCATTTCCTAGTGGGTAAGTAATTTTCCCACGGGGGGGGAGTTGGCAATACTTTGATGGGACAAAATTACCCCTTTTAATAATGGCTTTTTATGGTTTAAACAGTCATTGTCTTATTTACCTGGGAAATAAAAGAAAATGGGTAATTACACTTACCCAAGTAAGTAACTTACCGAAAGCGAATGGAGACTTTAAAAAATTGGTTTCCTTATCCAAACTTTGAGAGCTAGATGCATACATTGTGGAGTATTAAACACTATAAAGTTCTGCTTGCACCCTAGTCTAATACAAAATGGAACATTTCTTAAAATACAACAGTGTTTAAGTTCCATTAGAATGCTTATATAATTGTACCAGTGCAAGTTATGTTATTAAACATATTTATGAATATTTCTCTTAATTAACCCAAACTGCACGCAGGTATCAAGTTTACACACACATACACTCTATATACTTGCCATGTATTCAGTAGTTGCTATCAACATCACCCCATACATCACCATTGTTGGATCTTCTCCCATGAACTTCACCAGTTGGATTGTCCATCTAAGAATATAAACTCTGGATCTTGCTACCTTACAGGCGTCCTTTTTTTTCTTGTTTACTTCTGAACTTAAATATCTAGGACTCTAATATACTTGTACATTCAGACAAAGTAAAACGAAGGCGGTTGAATTTAGACTAAAATTAGGCCCCAGGAAACACGTACATCATGATCCTACGTCTGAACCATAACTATTTTTCAAGGAGGCTTTTGCCGATTTAAGTTCATAATAAGCATCAAAGAATATGTTGTAAAATGGGAGGATATATTTTGAAATGAGAGAGAGGGAGAGATCCGAGGCAGCGAATTAATCAAGTTCCTATAAAGAAAATGACCTGACCAGCCAAACAATGAATTTTAATCTAGACTATTCAAATAATCAACATCAGTAAAAATGCAGATCCGACTAAGGCGACAATCACCAGCCAAACAGCATTCATTGTCTTAAGAGAAGAATATATACAAACCAGTTCAAGTTCAGACGACTCAGGCACACCTATCTAATCCAAAATCGAAAATTTCAAAACCTAGCAGCGATTAGAAATTTAGAACTAGCCGCTCAGATAAAACCATAAACAAAATCACGAAGCATATTCTGCTGAGATGCATGCAAGTAGTGAACCCTAATTCTGATTGAACCCATGCAACAACAATCAATACAGAGTACAGACATCATTTGGGAGAGACAGTAAGATATGGATCCTTGAACGTTAAAATTCTCCACGAAAAATAGAAAATTTCGTATCACTAAATATCGGAAATAAGTCTCTTCACGTCTACAGACATTCAACCGGAAACCCAAATTCTTAGGGTGCATGAGAGGGGGAAGAAAGAACAAAGAAAAACAGAAATTTTTAAGTAAAAAAAAAAAATACCTGAGCCATAGCGCCAAGGATGATGACGGCAAGACCAGCGAAAGAAAGAAAGAAGAATAGAAGAGAACGACGGGACGCAGACGAGCTCACGACGCAAGTCTCAAAGCGTCTCCGTTTTTAAAAAGCAGGTAACCGATAAGAGTGCGCCGCGTGATGCTAACATACACCACCTTAGCGTAAAGTAACCAACCTCCACCAGACGAGACTCGAGAGCCCAGCTTCCCGCCCAAGTGCCCAACCCCAAAAGTATCGTTCACGATTCACGAATGACGTACCGTAAAGAATATTTTTTCTGCGTGTTTAGAAAACATACAAACTTCTGATCTGTACCCTTTCCATGAACGGGACCGGTGGGCCTTGGTGAACAAATTCTACGATCAATCAACCGTAGATGCACTGTGGATCCAATTTCTTCTTGATCTTGAATGAACACCCAAGAAATTCAGTAGATGAAACAGATTATGGTCACGATTGAGGGGGACTAACAATTTGGGAACCCTTGTGAAACACAAGAACCTGGTTTCTCCCCTTTCTCCAGTGGTACTGGAAAGAGAAGTACTAAAAAGGAGTACAACAATTGTGGGTTGGTGATGCTGCTATTGGGGCACTCAACCACTCTAGCAAAAATTCAGTAGATGAAACAGATTCTTCTCTCATGATCTTATAATGTAGGGTCACGATTGAGGGGGACTAACAATTTGGGAACCCTTGTGAAACACAAGAACCTGGTTTCCCTTTCTCCAGTGGTACTGGAAAGAGAAGTTCTAAAAAGGAGTACAACAATTTGGTGTTGCTTGCTGATTTGGCAAACCTTATATTTTTGCCCTTCCATTATCTACCAGGCTGTCCATTACATAGCGAATATTGGCTTATTACTGAAGGTTGGTGAGCTTGAAAAGTTGCAAGCTTGATTCAGAGCAGTTACAATTAATAACAAATTAACAATGAAGAACGGTTATGTAAGCGGTCGGGTCGGGTCGGTATCCGGTAGAGTCGATCTGGTCGAACCGGTTATATTGGTGGTTTTCAATTTTGTGTCCCCATTATAATTGTGTTGGGACCAGCTTTTGTCGTTCTGAACTGATTTGATTATGTAATTAATAGCATATAAACTTTTTCTGGATTCTTTTAGTAATTTTTGTTATGTTTTGTTGTTAAAAATGTTTTGTCAAAATATAAACAGTTTACTATTTATTGCTATTTTTTATAAAGATTATATTATAAAAATGAAGCTTCAAGTTGTTATTTCACAATCACAGATAATTATAGATGTCTAGGTCTATTTTATTTTTCATAGAACTGATTAATAATCGAGATTCAAGATTCATCCACCTTGTCCAAAACCACGCTTGACCATGATCATGGGGTAGGCCACACTTAGCACCAATAATAAGGATTATGGCCCAGGCCTAAGCTCAGCTTGGTATGGACTTGAAGCTTGAAATATATGTTTGTGTTAGGCTAGGCTGAGCTTTGGACCTCTATTTCTATATAAAAGTAATATATAAATATATTGCGGAAAAATCTTGTGATATTCCATGGATTTGGAAGAGCTTTGAACAATCAAAGCACCCAATGAATTTAGATGAATACTACCTGAATGGTCATTTCTTTTTTGATAACGGGTGATTGGCTATAAACTTTTAGGTATCATAGTCCCACCCGTATATTGCAGGCCAGGCCTGATGTGAGCCTTAGGTTAGCTGAATGTGATTAAAATTTTGTAACCAATAATAAGGCCCCACGACACCCATGCATGATTGAGTGGTTTTGGGGCATATACACTGATGATGTTGGATTTATTATTAGTTATACAACCATGACATTTAGCTAATCTTGATTCACCTAATGCAGGCCTAGGCCCAGTATTGAATAGACTTGAACGCAAAACTCAAGCTGAAATCAATATAAATCTATTAAGTTGATATGTGTATGATAGAAGGTTTGAGAAATGCAGTAAATGGAACCTAACGGTATTTTTTGTCTTTTTTCATGGAAATTACAAGAATATCATTCTCTACCAACTCTCTTTTTTGTTTTTTTTGTTTTTTTTAATTACAAGAATGTCACTCTCTCTTACCAATTCTCTCTCTCTTACTTTTTTCTTTCAAATTATAAGAATGTCGCACACACTCTCTCTCTCTCTATTTCTTACAAATTACAAGAATGCCACCTCTCTCTCCTTATAAATTACAAGAATACCACTCTCTCTCCAACTAAGGGAGACCTCAATTCGGTATCTCAGCTACTAGGGGACCTGCAATTAAAGGTAATCGAGTTTGAGCCAAACCGAGCTCGAACTTCTGAGCTCAAGCTCAATTCTCTAATTCGAATAAAGCTCAAGCTAGACGACACCTCAACCACTAAGGGAGACCTCAGCTCAGCACCTTGGTCACTGAGGGAGRTCTCGGCTCAACACGTCGACAACTGAGGGAGACCTCAACTCGGTACCTTGTCAACTAAAGGAGACTTTAGCTCGACACCTCACCTACTAGGGAAACCTCAACTCGACACTTTAGCAGATGAGGGAGACATTGATTTGGCACCTCGGTTCGGCACCTTGGTTGCTTGAGAGACTTCCAATCAAAGATACCTGAGCTTGAACTTTCGAGCTTTTGACTCAAGTCAAGCTCAAGTCTCTAATTTGAATTGATCTCAAACCTAATAGTTTATGAACGAGCCCCTGCCGCCACTTTATGGATGATATTGGATTTATTATTAGTTATACAACCATCACATTTAGCTAATCCTGATTCACCTAATGCAAGCCTACGCCCAGTATTGTATAGACTTTAACACAAAACTCAAGCTGAAACTCAAAAATCTACAGGCCAAGTTGGTCGGGCTAGAAATGATCATTCCTACATTTTAACATTTATTTACCAACAAGAAGATGGAAGTATGATGAGGTTGATATGATGCTTTTTAGAATAAACATAGAAAATTTAAGTTAAGATGGAAACCACTTTAAGGAAGCATAATATTGTATTTTGATTCCAATCATTTGGTTGGGTGAAATTAATCAAATATCATTCCCATTCTTAGCGGAATGGCATTCTTCTATTTGAGACAAGAACCATTTCCTTCCCTCCATGAGGAATGAGAATCCATTTCAGCTGATTTCAATTCCAATTCCGATTGCAAACAAAACGGATGCTTGTTTCAAAGATTAGACGAATGGAAATCTTCATTTCTTTTCCCTAAACCAAATAAGAGGAATGGTTCGGCTGATTGAACCAAGTTAAATTCAAAACGAAACATTTTAAGTTGCCAATGTGACAAGTAAGCTGCAAAAGGATGTTAACAAATAATCGCATCCGAGTCAAGTTTGTTTATGTGGGATTAAGATATCCTTAGTCGTAAAAGGATGTTAACACATGGTCCATATATTAATCAGATCAAATTTGTTACATTAAATTTAATTTGGATTTGATATTTATATTAAATTAAAATTATTTTTCATTTATAAAATATATTATTTTGTTTTATTTTTAATTTTATAGATATTTATTAATAATTCTTTTGGAAAAAACAAGTTTCGAGATATTCAAATAAATAATATATAGAGAAATAAAAGTTATAAATTATTAAAGGGGATCTAGCTTAGATGCTAGATCGCTCGTTTAGTATGCCAGAAGAATGGGAATCGATGCCCCGCATCTTCATTTATCTAATAATGTCTTTGATTCGTTCGCTTAGCATGCGAGAGGTACGGGGATCGATACCCTGCATCTCCATCACTAATACTTTTATAGTTTCATTACCAATTTGCCATATCGATACCGGCAGTCATAGGCGGCCCCTATCAACATCTCTTCTTATTGTATTAAAGAGAAGTGGTGGGTCTCCATTCTCCATTTTCCAAGAGTTGGAGCAAACCTCAACCTGGCCACACCGCACAATAGGAATATACTTCCACTAATGACCATTCCTGGCTTGGCATAAGGATAAGGGCACTGTATCCCTCTCTCGGACCTGGACGCTGGGTCATGGTCCTCTAGTTGAACATTTGGCCGCTTTTTCATTGCCTAGGTTTAGGCCTGCTAATGGGTTGGGTAGGTTTATGATTTTGTCCCCATCAATAATTGATTTACGACTGGAATACTTTGTTTTGATTAATAATTGGGATAATCAGGTCTGATACAATGTCCCAATTATAATATATAAATTTTTATTTAAATAATAAATTATTAWTTGATTTTTCATAAATATAATATAACCTTATTAAATATGATAARTAAATAGTAAATTATTTATATGTTAATAAGTGATATAGTTTTAACTAAAATTATCTTATATAATATCCATCAAATTTGCCCTTTTAAACATAAGAAATAGAACTTACCCATAACCTTTAACAAAATTTCTCATAACAAGAAGCGATGTAATCGGTTTGGTCAGTCAGATAAAACTGACCCATAGACGGCCTACCTGGGTTACACACCTTGACAAAAGATCATCCACTTTCATGACAAAAGATCAATCATCCTCAACGCACTAACCAACAATTGGCCCAAAATTTGTCACCACATGCTGTCCAATTGATATATAATCAATAATGTGCTCAATCATCTCCCTCTGATCTCTCTGAGTCAGAGGGCACAAGTAGTGATATAGAATCGCAGTGGTGCATTAAAAATTTATTAAATCGGTTGTTCATTGCATTATACATCTACATTATGACAGGACAAATCTAGATAAAAGACTACAGGAATATTTCCACATATACTAGATTTTATCGAATATGAAATCAATTTGGATGTCATATTAATAATTTCAACAAAAAAAAAAAAAACTTCGTTTTCAAAGAAAAACAGAAAAATTCATGGTACATTAGTATGGCAATTTTCCCCATCCCTATTCGGTTTTTGGCCTACGTGGCCCAATGGGATGGAGACTATTCTATTGGGGGCAATGACAGGGACAGGGATCAAATGGGATTAGGGATGGCGATTTTCTCTATTTTTTTTATCCCTGCGAGGATCCGCCTAAATGGGGCAGGGATAGGTAGAGGTGTAAAGTGGGGCGTGCCAGGCCGTGTTGCCCTCCCCAGTGAAAATTTTGGGGGTCGGCTCGGCACAGCCCACGGCCTAGGCCCATGTGGGCTTGTGTTGTGCCATGGGTCGAGTCTTGGGTCAAATCAGGCCGTGTATCGGGCCAAAGCAATTTATTTAAAAAAATTGACAAAAAAGCTTAAATTTTTTATTTTATATGAATTTTGTGTATATAATTGCTTATATATACAATAATTAAGCAAATTAGTATAACAAAATGAAAAAAAAAATTATTTATTTTATTAATATATTATATACTATATATTATTATATAATTATTATTTATATAATATTACATAAATATATAAAATATATTTAAAACATATATAAATATATATATATAATATAAATAATATATATGGGTCGTGTCGACCCGTGCACTATGGGCGGCACAGCCTGTTCAATCGTGTCGTGTCGTGCCAGCCCGTGGACCTAAAACCCCAAGC